GGACTCACTAGGTCGATTTCGGCCCCGGCCGGGGAGCAGGCCGAGGGGGGGAAAGANTGTCTGTCTGTCTGTCTGTCTGTCTGTCTGTCTGTCTGTCTGTCTGTCTGTCTGTCTGTCTGTCGTCTGTCTGTTGTCTGTCTGTCTGTGACCAGCCTCGATATATTACCCAGCAGATTCCAGCCCATTTCACCATCTCGGCACCAAATTGCAATCTAAGACGTGTTCACAACAAGTAATATTTTGCCCGAGCTGCCCCAACTGCTACCTTTTCAATCCGGGCTCGGTGCGTCGAGAGAGTGCAGCGTCGGTACCCAACTTGAAGCAGGGAAGTTTCTGGCCCCTTGCAACACCGAGAGGAGGCGTCGTTTGATTTTGAACGAGGAGTGGACAATGTCGGGTACACCCGGCCCCAATCCGGCCATTATCCCGTACCTTGTTTTTTTACACAATCGGCAGCGCCCTCCTGGCGCCATCTGATTGGCCGACGCCCGCCCCTACCCGGCCCTGACCCTATTCCCACCGGGTGCACCCGATCTTGGCTACTCACCCCCCGGAGGGGTACCCGATCTTGCTCTCGCCTACCCGAAAATGACTGGGCCATTCGACCAACAGACCACCAGCAGACCACGCTCACGAACACACGTCACCAACACCCCGCACTCGAGTTCCGACACTTCCGACGGCGGGTGGAGGCGGACCTAACGCTGCTAACGCGGCGGAACTCTCGTTTGAAGTGGATCTCTCTCCTACAAGAAGACTCCTCCTGCAACCCACCGCCGACGGCGGAAGTCTCTCGGTTCTCGTTTCGTTTCGGAGAGGGAGGAGGGCNAAATTTTGATCTCATCTCGAACTTCCTGGCAACTTCGAAGATGAAATCCCAACACCAGTCCGCAAACACCCTAATGACTGGGCTATTCGACCAACAGACCACCAGCAGACCACGCTCACGAACACACGTCACCAACACCCCGCACTCGAGTTCCGACACTTCCGACGGCGGGTGGAGGCGGACCTAACGCTGCTAACGCGGCGGAACTCTCGTTTGAAGTGGATCTCTCTCCTACAAGAAGACTCCTCCTGCAACCCACCGCCGACGGCGGAAGTCTCTCGGTTCTCGTTTCGTTTCGGAGAGGGAGGAGGGCGAGGGCCAGGCGGGCGGCGGTGGATGAATACCTCTCAATACCTCACGTGATCACTTGAGCTGCACACAAATACATGACGCAGCTCAAATATGTCCACGGAAGCATCAGGCACAGAAGCATCAGGGTGTCGCTTTCGTCTGGAATACATGTATAGACTCATCAAGACCGGAGATGTATGGCACGTTGTTGTGTACGCAGAGGGTCGTTCGTACACAGCAATGCAGCAGCAGCACGCAGTGGATGCCGTGGTTATGTCTCGATCAAGAAGGCCGGAGATATATGACACATTGTTGTATAGGAAGAGGATCGTGCAGTAATGCAGCAGCAGCAAGCAGTGGATGCCGTGGGACCTCAGATTAAACAGCGATAATACTTCCTTGACTTCGACCTCTCGTGAGTACGTGGGAGAGACAAGGAACTGCGGACTTGCCACAGGAGATGGGGAAAGATAGAGAGAGTGGTGGTACACGCAGCATGAACGCTGTCCTAAGATGGCTGGTGGTGAAGTAGCACGCGCCTTGCGCGAGGACCGCGGTGTTGTCGACTTCATCGCTCATATTCTGCCGATGCCAGTCTACCGTTGAGGCACGAGTGCCGAGATTAACCACGAGAGACTTGGTGGGTTGAAGGCGAGATCTACTTGCAGGGGCGAGATCTTCTTGCAGGAGCGAGATCTACTTCAAATGAGAGTTCCGCCGCGTTAGCAGTGTTAGGTCCGCCTCCGCCCGCCGTCGGAAGCGTCGGAACTCGAGTGCGGGGTGTTGGTGATTGGTGACGCGTGTTCGTGAGCGTGGTCTGCTGGTGGTCTGTTGGTCGAATAGCCCAGTCATTAGGGTGTTTGCGGACTGGTGTTGGGATTTCATCTTCGAAGTTGCCAGGAAGTTCGAGATGAGATCAAAATTTGATTTCGAAAACAGCTTGCGAAGATGCGAGTGAAATATTTGTGGTCTTGATCACGCAGAAACTTCCAGGAACGCAGTATTTTACCACGGCGGAGCCCCCTTTTCGGCTCTTTTCGGCAGCAGACTTGGTCCCGCTCGGCACAACCTACATCAGACCTTCCGCCTCCACCCCCACCGCAAGGCTACCACCACATTACTACACTCACAACCGCTGCTAAACAATCATGGAGAACGATGGAGGTCAACGTACTCATGAGAAGGCTGGCCCGGTTCAGTTGCCGGGTGTTCATGGCAACACGAGTCCTCCGGCGCGGGCCGCTCCCCTCGCCAGAGTTTCGGTGAACACACAGCACGAAGGCCAAGGACCTCCTCCGACTACTACCGCTGCCCCGCGGTTTGGTGATACGCGTCGCAGTCATCAACGGAGTCGATCGTCCGCGAAAGACGCATCACCGGAGCACGGTCCACAGGACGCACGCGCAGCAGCTCCTCACGCTCCCACGCCGCTTGAAGCATCCCTAACCCCGTCACCTCCGCCTCCGCCTGTGCAGCACTCCTAAGATCTATGCCGCTCGCAGCATCGCCGTCATCCTCGTCACGCCGACTTGGTGTGTCACTCAAGAAGAGCATGTAGAACGGTATGCTGCGGTTCAAAGGGCGCAAATGCACCATATCGGCAGCATGCATTGCACCAAGTCTGGCGTGCAGTGACGACTGTCTAACTGTCTTGCGGTACTGTAGCTGGCTCGCCATGGTGGTGTGTATCACGGCCGAGGTGTGGGTGCATAGCTAGCCTCACGGGCTGGTGCGGCATGTGTCCGGACAACGTCGGGAGTATCTCGGGAAGTACAGGCCAACCAGAAACTGTTCCCAAAAAGATAGATGCAAGCAGGATGGAATTTGATCTTTTCTGCGGTCTTTGATGGCAATGATTCGTAAAAGCGAAAGATCAAATTCCAAAAGATCCCGCGGTCTTCGGCGCTCGGGTGGATAAAAAAGATCGAAATCAAATCGAATTCCGATGTTCGCAAACACCCTATTTTTTCGGGTAGGTGAGAGCAAGATCGGGTACCCCTCCGGGGGGTGAAGTAGCCAAGATCGGGTGCACCTGGTGGGAGTAGGGTCAGGGCCGGGTAGGGGCGGGCGTCGGCCAATCAGATGGTGTCAGGAGGGCGCTGCCGACTGTGAAAAACAAGTGTACCCGATAATGGCTGGATTGGGGCCGGGTGTACCCGATATTGGCCATTCCTGATTTTGAACGAGGACAGATAGCCTTGCACACCACACACACCACACTCACAGAGTCAGACATGGACAAACAGGGAGAGGGAGACACAGACCACAGCGAGGGCGAGACGACGGGAGAACGGTGTGCCATAAACTGCCGCTGTTAGCTATCGGCGGAGGACGCGAGAGGAGCGATCAACATTTGGTTGCAGCAGCAGCAGCAGCGGCCTCCCTCTCTCCTTTCCGCGGAGAGGGGCACATGACACCAACAACACGCAGACGCTGCTACGCACCACCATTGGTGCGACATGTATTGCTGTACGCCTCTCTACACTTGTGTGCGCGAAGGCCTAGTGTGCGACCAGTGCCTATCGTGCTAGCCTGGTTACCCATCACACGCTTCAAAGCTCAAAGCTTGAGATTTCTCGATCCAAGCTCGAACCAACAAGCGAAGCACAACAACAGCCGAGATTTTTTTTTTTCGCTGCGACCCCTATTTTTTTATGTACCACACCCACCCCTCCCTCTCGCCTAGAGTCACATTGATTGGCGCCCCCCACACCTCAATCAATACATTGTAATACTGCTGTGTAGTAAACGGGCCAATGGTAGCAACGCCCGAGCCTACTGCAGGTGGTGGTACGTTTTTCAACAAAAAACTATTCCACCGCCCGATCTAGTGTATCTCGAGACTAACTATGCATAGTCTATTTTTGCTTTGTTTTATTTTGATCGGTTTCCGAGAGCTCTTTTCTCAACCGGTCGGTGCGGTAGCCCTTTTGTAAGATCATTTTGTTTTCTTTTTCCGTGTGGTTTGTGCCCTCTTTTTGTTTTGTCTCCCCGCGGCGTCGTATGTATGTGCCGGGTTTTCAGACCACGGTCTCCCCATTTTTGTGGATTATATAGAGCTAATAATGTGAGAAACAACAACAACAAACGTTACCACGGTTATTTGGCGTCGTGGTTGTTTTTTTGACATCATGTTGTTTGTTGTTGTTGTTTCTCACATTAGCTCTAAAAAAAAAAGGATTGGGAGCCCGTGGTCTCAAAACCCGGCATACACGACCCCACGGAGAAACAGAAAAAAATAGGGTACAAAAACCACTCGGAAGAGAAACAAAATGATAGAAAGAAAGACCAGCTACCGCACCAAACGAGAAAGAGCGTCGAGGAGACCGATCAAAATAAAATAAACCCGCCTACATGTATGTATGATTGATTGTGGCTTTATTCCAAGTCTGGTGGTGCCTTTCTGATCAGAGTGCAATCGGGTTCGAACGTGATAAGTTAGTGTGTGTGGCGATCGGCTTGTGTTTGATTCTGGCTTCACGGTGTGGATGCGAAGAGATAGCAAGTTAATCAAGGAACTAAAACAGGAAGCAGCAACAAAAACAACCCTGCATCTATGGCCGACTGCAGTTAGTTTCACACAGCTAAATCAAGGTCATCATAACGAAGAGCTAGATGCAAATCTCGCTACTACAGCTGAGAAGCGACCGGAAAAATTTCGCAGTTCAACTAACTTCGTATTGCACGGATTTTCGGAGGATAATCACGAACGAACGAGGTTATATTAAGTTGTTGTGATGATGTGTTTTTTGGTTGGCGTTAATCCTCCTATGTTTTTTGGATGAAACATTTTTGGTCGGAAGCGTTGTAGTTTCGGAAAGACATCTTGAGGGGATAGGATATTGACATACTTCATACATTGAAAGAGGGCAATTAATTGTGGAGAACACCTTCATAAAGGTTGAAACTCTCAAACGTCTGTCGAGGAAGAAACCCTCTTTTCGACAATGGCGTCGACGAAGAGATGTCGGGTGCCTGCTTTTGGTTGCAAAAGACACTCTTTTCGACAATGGCGTCGACGAAGAGATAGATGTCGGGTGCCTGCTTTTGGTTGCAAAAAACACGGGTTCAACACCCGCTGCTCACCTCATTTTCTTCCGGAGTACGGAAAAAGAAAAACGGTGGGTGGGCCAAGAAACGATGCACTGTCTATCGAACTCGAAACTTCTGCCAATGCGTGGCGGAAGTGGTGTACCCGCACACACGCACAGAAGATTGTTGGAAAAAAAAAGGTGGTTCTACTCGCCGCCAGCCGGTCGGGTTCCGGTTACCCCAAGAAGACTTCTCTTGCCTAGCAAACAAGGAGAAGCCTCGAAAAAGGGGGGGGTAATGTGGAGAACACCTTCATAAAGGTTGAAACCCCCCAACGTCTGTCGAGGACGAAACCCTCTTTTCCACACAATGATTTGATGTATGTTTTGTCTATTGAATCTTCTACGGATTTCGGGGGATTGAGTTCTGTTGGGAATCCATGATTTCGGAGGACATCGTTATCTTGGGAGGAGGTATGTTGGACGTACTCACAGCATCGGCAGATTATTGCAAGCAAGATTTCCGAGCAGATGGAGCCGGGGAGTTTGGGGGTTCAGCAGTTGCTATGGATTAGATTTGGTGGTACCAACTTTGCCGCATATTTCAGGATTGGGGGTGGGGGTATATGTGCGTCTACAACGGATATGGTGACTGTGTGTTGTGGTTTCTCACTTGTTTTTTGTTTCCTCTTTTTCCTCCTTCCTGTGTGCAATCAAGTCCTTTTTCCCCGGCTATCACGCCACGGCTACCACGCCAATCCCGGCTATCACGCCACCCGGCTATCACGCCTTCCGGACATCCACGTCCTTACTTATACATATACACCACGACTATCACGTCACCAGGCTTCCACGCCACATCCAGAGATACCATACCCGAGCTATCACGCTCCATCCCAAAGGAGAAGGCTGTCACGCCCATCATAGTTCCTACACTGTACCGTTGGCGGCTACCGCGCCGCTGGCTCTTTTATTTCCCAACCAAGGGACCCCGCGCGCCAAGGCACCGACGCACAAAGCTACTCAACACGCTAGCGTTCACGATCAAGAGAGTGGCTGCTGTGTCTACGCGCGCAACATGCCGGACGGAGACGGACGACAACCTCCGGGGGGATCAGGTCGGGCTGTCCCTTCCCCCGGGGCAGGCGTCGCGGACGGAGGAGGAAGTAATTCTTTCTCCGTCAACGATGCACGAGACCGAGGGGGTGCGCGAGCGGCAGGAGGGGAAGATCAGCGCAACACGATGCGTGAGCTGGTCGATCTCTTGAAGCAGGCCTTCGCGACATCAACTCAGGACCAGGGGCACCGTGCCCATCCAGGCACGTCTAGCAACCAAACTTTAGAGCTGAGGCAGAAAGAGAAAGTTGATGTCCCAGCAAGGAGTGATGATTTTCTGAAGAGCAGATCAATTGAAGTTGCATTGCGAGTGTTCACGAGTGCATTTGAGGCGTGGCTGGAGAATGAGGGACTTGCTGGTGTGATGAGGGGTTCAGAGGTACCTGTTGGTGCAACTGGTATGGACTTGAACTGGTTGAGGAGCACGTACGGAGAGGAGAGAGTGAAGCAATCGAGGAAGATTTGGACGTTCATGCTTGCTAAGATCACAGCGCAACCCGCACAAGCCCAAATCTTGGCATCAGAATCACCTCAAGCAGGGTACCGCGTGTTTCTCGAGCAATATAGCCAGGACAAGAGTCAGGAGCGACAAACCCTTGACGACGCATGGAACGTAATAGGCCAGAGGCAGGGAGAGAGTCTTATGGACTATTACGGTAGGGCAGTTGCGCTGTGGATGAGACTTCGCTCGTATGGGGATAACCGGGATGAAAAATCTATGTGCAGGCACATTGTCAGGGGATTTCTCCCAAGGTTCGAAAAAACCAAAGACCGTCTTCTGTTTGATACGATGTTGTCGAGGGCAACCATGCAGGAGATGCTGAGGATGGAAGAGCACGAGCTGAGGTACGAGCGGAGAGATGGAGAGCGGAAGGAGGAGATGAGGCACGCCCTCGTCGCTGCCGGCGTGGGCCGGGGCGGCGGGGCGGGGAAACCAGCCGCTGCAGGATCGGAGCAAGGCGGACATCGACCTCAGCAGCCACAGGGGTCGTTACCGCTACATCAACAAAATCAGCAGCAGCCATCGCACTTCTGTCAGCTCCACGGCCCCAACAGCACCCACGAGACCTCCGAATGTCACAAGTTGCGCAACGAATTCCTCGCCCACTACAACGAGTTCTGCGCGTACATGAGCGGGAGGCGGGAGGCTCAGGGGTTTGTCTTCCCTCGGGGCGGAGCTCAAGACTCGGGGCGGATGGTTGGTGGCCCATCTCGACAGCAGCCGTACCAAAACGAACAAGGTGCAGGCTGGAGTCGGGGCCACTCTCCTGCGCTGCCGGGACCGCCGCGTGGCCCAGGATCCGGAGCTGGAGGACAGCTGCAGGGGCGCAACTCGGGGGGGCGTGGGCATGGTGGTTACGGTCCTTACCCCCCGGAGAACCGAGGTCGTCAGGTGGGCGGCCGTGGTGTCAATTATCCGCCGCCCAACGTTCCTCCCGCGCAGATTGCCAACGTACCACGTCCCTATTTTCCGGCTCATTTCGCCATCGGAGGCGGAGAACCATCAAGCGGCGACATCACCTCTGGATGGGAGGCCACGTCGGCACCCGGATCTACATCAAGCTGGACCCCACCACCTCCCGAGGCAGGGTACGGGTACGGGCTCGCGGCTCACGGAGTGGACCATGGCGGAGGTCCCTACAGCAGTTCCGCCGGCGGGGGATACGGTCACCACCATTTCCCCGACGGCGGAGGACTCTACCAGCAGCAAGAAGTGAGCAACGTACCACACTATCCTTCTGCTGCTGGACCGGACGCCCAACAACCGCGAGCCTACGAGGCCTTCGACACCTCGCAGCAGCAACAGCAGCAGCAGCAGCAGCACTACGGCGCACCCCAGGCGACCTCTTCCTCCTCCTCTCCCTCTCCAGCTCCAGGCGACGCTCTACCTCTAGCCGGCGATTCCCCTCTGCGTCTCTTCATGGCACGTAGCATGTGCCCTCGAGGCAAGTCTGAGATTGATTTCGAGAAAGAGTTTGGCTTTTCGATGTCTGACGTGTTCATGAGTGCGGAATCTGATGTGCCTATGCCTGGTGTTGTTCGCATGCCTGCTGTACCTCCTGTACCTGAGAGTTCTGATAAAGAGTTGGGTGTCTCGAAGTCTGGTGTGTCTACCCATCATGTACCTCGCGTGCCTGCTGTGCTTGAGAGTCCTAATGAAGAGTTCGGCGTTTCGGAGTGTGATGCATCTGTCCCTACAGTTGTACCAAGTGTACCTGAAAGGGTAGTCGTAGCCCGTCTCACCCGCCGTCCCACGGTTGAGAAAGCTTTCTTGTGCCAAGCCTCCATCCCGAAGCCCATCGGTAGCGAACAATGGCAGGCCGATTCTGGTGCCAGTGCGATGATTACTAACAAAGTGGATGCGATGTACAATGTACGCCACTTGGGCCCGGACGAACGATTTATTCAGATTGGAGACTCGGCTCTCATCAAGGTTGCCGCTGTAGGGAGTTTGGACCTTAGGTTCCACCAAGTCGGAGCCGACGGGAAACAGAAGGATTTGGACGTCACTGTGCCAGAAGGTTTGTTTGTACCCGGGTGTGGTTTGAACCTTTTCTCGGTATGGGAGGTGTCTCACAAGCATGAGGTCCCTATCAACCCCAACGGTACANCCATGGCTGTGTTGGGTCCAGGGAAGACACCTTTCAATGTCGGCAATGCACAAAAGGTCATGGATATTAACACGTTCCACTCCCGTGCCGGCCACTTGTCCGAACCCATTTTGAGGCTGTCCGCAGAGCAGCACGGCATTACCCTCACGGGCACGATGCACAGCTGCCGCTGGTGCTTGCCGGCGCGTGGGACGAGGGCACCGGTGCCGAAGCAGGGGGGCGGGCACCGCGGCAAGAGGGCGCCGAACGACGTGTTCCACATCGACCTCTGCGGCGCGTACACGGTGACGATCGATGGCAACCACTACATGCTCTTCGGTGTGGACGCCGCCACGGGATGGATGGTCTGCTACGCCATGCGGCGTAAGTCGGAGGCGCT